CACACACACCCCCCCCCTCCTCGGAGAGCTAGGACGTCCTGCACGCCAGGGCCCCATCCGGGTAAGAAACCGGAAGAGGAGGGGGGGCGGCGGCTCGGCTGAAGTGGATGGAGCCCGACACAAGGAGCCCTCAGCCGAATCGCGGCCACGTGCGTCTCTCCGGGTCTCTGGCAAAACGCAGCTTCCCGTTGCCGCTCACATGTCAGCCAAGTACCTCCACCTACTCAAATCTTAAACATAGAAACAAAGGCCTACAAAATGGTATTTTAATTTCTGTCAGAACCGAAGCCATGCTTGTCTGAATAAGTCAGTTACAGCAGCACTAGGCACTTGAAAAGAACAGTACAATCCCCAACACCTACTAGGCAATTAGCATAAACTCCACAGAAACTAGTGATCAGACTCAAAATCGTGAGAGCAGCGCCACCCAGTGGCAGGAGGAGATGCTGCGTGCGAGGAACTAGCCTCCATCCCAGAGTGGCCAGAGATTATTTCCTGTCACTCCAATCAAAGACCCCAGTAAAAGACCTCCATCCAGGGCTGGAAACTCTAAAACGGAATTTGATCCTCCTCAGAGTCTAACAACTAGGCTTGGGGAACATGTTATTTCACATTTTCTGAGTAGCCATCACGAGGTTGCCAGCTAAAATGCAGAATGTATGTTCCGGGACATATTCGAAACATACTAAAAAAGTATTCATTGGTTTGTCAAAAATTCAAATGTAACGAGGCGTCCTGTATTTTTATTTACTGAATCTGGCAACCTTAGGGCCCCTGTAGTCTGAAAGACCCCTGCCTGAGGAAGTACCCACCCCTAGAGAGCAGAGATTCGTTTATATAACCAAGTCTTTACATAACCAAGTTCACGCAAAGAAACAGTTAACACACCTGCAGCAAGCAAGCTCGCCAGCGACCCCAGCATGCTGCCATCCGCTAGCAAAGGGCAGGGAAGACACTCTGGTCCGTTATGCAAAAGACCAGTAAGGGAAGCGGGGAGTAGAGGGCAAAATGGGGCCCAGACGGCTGGGTCCTAAAATGGGAGCATTAAATAGCACATGGGTGGAGGAGGGTAGAAAGGAGATTGGCAATTCTGGAAGAAAAAGAGGGGGGAAACTGCCTCTTGACAACTGTACCTAGTCAGGGTATTCCTGCCGACCCACAGACGGGACCATGTGGCGATTGCCTGGCGTCCGCGAGCAGGATCTGGGTAAGGTAAGGCCGGGGAAAGGCAGACCTCCACGGATTATCCGCATCCAAGCAAGCCTTGCCTCGGGAAGGGGTTATTTAAATGGGTTTGTGTTCCAGTGTTCTCAGACAAACAAAGACACTCGTGGTCCTTTTCGGCCGCCACTAGCTGGTTTGGCTGTGCATGACTGGCAGCTTTCGGCCGTGTGCCCTTCCAGAGTGGCCGCCGAGTCCGCACGCACCTTTGCAGTGAACCGCGATCGCCCCGTCCGTGTTCTCGCAGATGTTCAGGAACCTCCGCACGATGTTGTCGCTGGGCGTGCTGCCGTCGATGAAGAACAGGTCGTAGTGCTCGAAGCCCGCGTCTGTGAAGCGCTTCGCCTCGTAAATCTTTTTGTTCAGCCTCACGACTGTCGTCACGTTGTGCTTTTTGAAATAAGGAAAGTAGGCTTCAGGGGCGTGAAGAGGATAGCCTGAAGGGAAAACGGAGCTGTGAGCAAAAGGCACGCGTTTCCCCTGACACCCAGGAGCGCCAGAACCCTTCACGGTCAAGTTTATGAATCTCCACAGAGCTTACGAGGAAAGGGCATTTCCTGAGAGAGTAAGAAAGAGGTGGAAGCACTTTCCTAAAGCAGCAGTCTGAAGAGCCGTACACACACACACACACACACACACACACACCCACACACCACAGGAGCGGAAGAGAAAACCCTACTCTGGATATTGGAAATCGCTCATGAAAATCCGAAACCTCTACCCATAGGATTCAAATCCTGTGAGCATACACTCCTCCCAAGCCAAAACAAAGGCATCCGGGGGCCACTCAAAGGTCAAAGGTGCCCAGGAGGCCTGCTGGCACGATTCTTTGTGCTTTTTCTTCCACTTGACAAATACTTTTAAGATTTTATTTATTTATTTGACAGAGAGAGACAGCAAGAGAGGGAACACAAGCAGGGGGAGTGGGAGAGGGAGAAGCAGGCTTCCCGCGGAGCAGGGAGCCCGATGTGGGGTTTGAGCCCAGGACCCTGGGATCATGACCTGAGCTGAAGGCAGCTGCCTAACGACTGAGCCACCCAGGCGCCCCAACAAATACTTTTCAACTACAGTTAAAGCCCTTGTGCTGGGTGATTCGTTTCACTCTATAGTGCAATCCCCCACAAAAGAGAGGAATAATTATTAAGCACCTACCACGTCTAAGTCACCATTGTATATCATTTCTTTTAATTCTCCAAACAGCCTGTTAAGGTAAGAATAGTAAACCCCATTTAACAGATGGAGAAACTAAAAAAGTTGAATGATTTTTTGGTAGACATTCTCATTGGGGGAGGCACAGCGGTACAGATGGTCAGCCCCTAAACCGCCTTCCGTTTCCAGTGGATCCAGCATCGTGTGAGTATTCCTGGGAGCTACAGAGTCAGCTGGGTTACAGATATGCGACCTAGACTTGGCCAATCAACCAAGGTGACTGGGGGCAGGGGGCCTTTGGCCACTGCAGACCTGGCCCGCAGCCCCAGGGATTCACACAGGACTAACTTCTCAGCACCCTGATGACCACACCTGTAACGTATGCAGGGTTCACTGACGCAGGGCATACCGGGTGAGACAGTCTCATTCAGAACTCTTTCATGATGGTGGGCCCAGAGCGTATGGGCGGCATTAGCCCGCAAAGTAAACCAGCAATTTCTTCGCTGCGTCCTTGGCCGTATCTCGCGCTGCCTCAGACTCTGCATATGCTGGTCATTTCCTATTTTCTCTCAGCAGCAAGCCAACCCTCCCATGCTGGGGCCAGGGTCTGCAGAGGGCATTTGCAGCTGGCTCGCTGTCAGTTCAAAACATGGGAGGCATGAAGCACAACTGGAGTGACTGGAGGCTTCTGGGTAGGGGCCAGGAGGCTTCAGCCGAAGAAGATAGGAGCAACCAGAGCTCCCAGCTCAGCATCGTACTCCCAGTACCAGTCTGCGGCCCAGCCACCTGGTCTCTGCTCCTCAGCCCCCAAATGCACACACCAGCTGGTGGCATTCCCTTCAGAGCTCCCAATACCAGCCTGGCTCCCCTTCCAAGCCCCCAGATTCTGGTGACCTCACTTTCTACCTTTCTAAAGGCAGGAGCTCTTTCCTCCATAATATTCTGGTTTCTTCAGTGTTGCCCTTTTCCTTTTTAGCCTTCTCTGTAACAAATCCCTTGTATTAAATTCCCTCTGTTTGAAATGGTGTGGTTTCCATTTCCCTGCCTGGACCCTGCTGAGACATCATCTCCCTTGGATCCTGTTCATTTTCTAGGCCTCATTCTCCAGCCTTCCCTTGGAGGCTGTGAGATCCCCAGCATCATTCCAATCAATGCCTTTTTTGGTTTAATTTACCAGAGGTGGTTCTGCTGCCTGCAACCAAGAGCCCTAACTGGTATCCTTGGCCAAGGTCACACAATGGATGGAGGCAGAACTGGAAGGCAGATCAAACTACTCCGCGGCCCAGATACAAGATTCTCACAGGCCATGCTGCTTCCGGGCAAACAGGTAATACAGAGCTTATTTTCAATCTTCTGTGTAGAAACAGTAACTTACACACACACATTTAGAGAAAATGGATGCAGTTTTCTACTTGGAAAAAACAAATCTGTTTTCCTACTTAGTTCAAATTATTTTCCAGCAACAGATTTACAACCTAAAGGAGAAAAGAGTTGTGGTTGGTGGGGGAACAAAGGCAAGAAGGAAATGTAGATAAAATTAAGTTTCCTTATAACGTGCAGCCCACTGACAAATACTTGAGACAGTCCTCTAGGAACTCCCAACTGTTTTAGTACTTTGCTTAGAGGGAAAAACAACCTGAGTTTGACAACAGCTAGGCCTCCAGTATCCAGTAAGTCTTTAGCATATGAAAATCCTCTTGGAAACTTCCTTTGTCTTTACCTCCCCCAACTCCAAAGTATCTAATCAATTGCTCCTCGCCATCCCGGGGCAGATCTTTCTGCCCATGGGTCCTGTCCCCATGCTATAATCAAAATACTTCTTTGCACTGAAAACATCTCAAGAATTCTTCCTTGGCTGATGATTTATGGACCCCACTTCAAACCACATCAGATGGCATAAGGAGACGAGCTTTTCTATCATGTAAGAATGGGAAGGAGAGTACTCATAAACACATGGGAAGTCTTCCCCTGGTGTGGCTGGTGAGCACCTCTGACCCTGGGTTCCTAGCATACTTGGCACCTCTGTGATGGCACCTGTTACCAGATGTGCTAATGGTTGGTTTGGTGTCTATCCCCTCCCCTCCTCCACCAAGAAGAAGAGGAGGAAGAAGTTTCTTCTTATATATTAATTTCTCTCAGGAGTAAATATACCTAAACCAACTGTTAAGAGAAATTATGTGTATATCTGGGTTTTTAAAAAACTGAACAGTTATTCAAATATGGAAATAGGACATTGAAATAATAATAATGATAATAATCATAACTAACATTTACTAAGCACTTACTATGTGCCAGGCACTAAACAAAGTGCTTCATATGGATCATCTCATTAAACCTTGCAATTACCCAGTTATTGCTGCCTAGAAAAGTAAACTAGCCCAGGCACACACAGCTAGTAAGAGACAGGGGCAGCATTTGAACCCTGGCAGTCAGATTCCAGGGCCTGTGCGGGGGCTGATTTCAAGTAAGATCCAACTTGACTCTGTTAGGTCCCCAAATAAAGGACTGTTATACGAACATTATGGGCTACACTTCCTAGAGTTCGTGAGCAGGTTTCTTTAAAATCCTCAAAACTGTTTCAAGTGAGTTATAACCAACGACAGTGACAATATCCTATGACGTCTGAATAACTGTTTGTGGGTGTTATCACTGCATTTCGGACTGGTTTTAGCAGAATGCAGAGAGGACAGAGCATTCAGCAGCCCCTTCCTCCATTTGGCCAGTAGGTGGCGCCCTGGCATCAGTAAAGCACAGGCAGAGCCCAAGAGCCGACCAAACAATTTCAGAGCGGAGAGATTCCAAATTCCTCTCTTCCCAGCCCCTCATTTAAAGTTAGAGCCCTGAAGAACAGAGTCAAATGACTAGTCCACCCAGTCATTATTAATAAATTTGGGGTGCCTCGGTGGCTCCGTTGGTTAAGTATCTGCCTTCGGCTCAGGTCAGGATCCCAGGGTCCCACGATGGGCTCCCTGCTCAGTGAGGAGTCAGCTTCTACCCCCCTTCCCCTTTTCGTGCTAGCTCGCTCTTTCTCTCTCTCTCTCAAATAAATAAATAAAATCTTTTTTTAAAAAAGTTAAAACTTCAAAATGGGCAGGTAAATGTAGGAAGCAATAAAATGTTTATTTAGGCTCATTAATGAGAAAAATGTAATCAGAATATCTGCTATCTAATAAGCACCTATTCTGTGCCTGACACTGTGCAAGACACTTCATCTAGTATCTCTAATCATCACTAGATGTGCATTGTGCATCCTTTTCCCCCTGTTTGACCTACAAGGAAACGGATGCTCAGAGAAAGTTGCAAAGCTCTGGGAAATTCACACAGCCAGTAAGGGGCAAAGTCAGGTTCCTCTGCCCAAGCCCTGCACACCTGCTTCTCTCATTATATGACCAAGCTGAACAGGCTTCAGATTGTTGCCATTCCCTGCCTCAGGCTATCTTTCTCTGTGCTTTTTTCTTTTCTTTTCTTTTCTTTTTTTTTTTCTTTTGAGAGAGGAGAAGGACGTTGCCACCTGAGAGTTTGGGGGATTTGGGGGAAAACTGGAAATCCAAAATATGTTTCATTCTACTGCTTTATTATTCATGTATCAATTCAAATTTATTTAACCAAAAAAAGGTAGGGCTCTTCTCTTCCCCACCATCAAAACAATGTGAACCAAGATGAGCGTAAAAAACCCTACTTGCAGGCGCCTGGGTGGCTCAGTTGGTTAAGCGACTGCCTTCGGCTCAGGTCATGATCCTGGAGTCCCGGGATCGAGTCCCGCATCCGGCTCCCTGCTCGGCAGGGAGCCTGCTTCTCCCTCTGACCCTCCCCCCTCTCATGTGCTCTCTCTCTCTCTCATTCTCTCTGTCTCAAATAAATAAATAAATAAAATCTTTAAAAAAAAACTCTACTTGCTCTGTGTTGACACAAGACACACTTAAGACTCTTACAATGCATTCTGCCCTGATCGCAGGATTTTAGGGCTTCTTTGCCTACATCCTAGCAACAGCTATTTGAGTGTTAATTTCTGTAAAAATTTACCTTTTCTATTAACAAACCCCTAACATGATTTTCAGCCGGCTCAGGAAACACAGTTTCTCAATTAAAAAAAAAGGCAAGCAAGCACCTAGATGTCACTGTAATTGGATCAAGTTTATTGGTTCCATCATACAATTATTTTATTAAGCTCAAAAAAGATTTACAAAGTTAAAAACTCTTTTACAAAAAATATGATGAAGCTTCTAGTGACTATTCAATCTTAAAATGGAGAGTCCAGTCAAATGTCAATATTTACTAATGACAGCCTTAAGTGAAATTGTCCTAGATATCATAAAAAAACAACAAATAGTAGGTAAATAGCGCTTTCAGACCTTTTTTTCCTCAATGTAAGAGGGCACAATAGATGTATGGGGGGAAAAAAGATGCATATAGAGCAGTATCTTAAGTGTTTATTTCTAGGTTATGTAATTATAGGTGACTTTTTCTCTATATTGCTTAAATTTTCTGTAGTGAGCATATACCTCCTCTGTAATAAGATGAAAACACAGAATTTGGAATCAAAGAGACCTGTGTTTGAATCTACACACTGCCACTTTCTGGCTGTGTAAATCTGGGAAAGTGAGGTAACTCCTCCGAGCCTCTATCTTCTCTTCTATAAAATAACTATTACCTCCCTGAGAGGGTGGTTCTGATCCTTGAAGAGGTGATACATGTACAAAAGGCTTATCAGCCCCATTCCTGGCATATAAGCAAATGTAGCTATAATTATTTCCCAATATTATAATATGCGGCCAAAAGGAATTTTTAAAGATTTTGGCAATTAAGAAGGTACAATCTTCCCATTAGAAAATAAACAAGACACGGGGATGTAATATACAGCATAGGGAATGTAGTCAATAATAATGTAACGACTGTGTATGATGACAGATGGTAACTAGACTGAATGTGGGGACCAGGTCCTGATGTAGAGAAATATCCAATCACTATATTGTACACCTAAAACTAATACAATATTGTAGGTCAAATGTTCTTCAATTAAAAAAAAAAAGAATTGTCACACAAAATATTCATAGCCTTTTTTTAAAAATATTTTTTTAAAGATTTTATTTATTTGAGAGAGAGAGAGACATAGCAAGAGAGGGAACACAAGCAGGGGGAGTGGGAGAAGGAGAAGCAAGCTTCCCGTGGAGCAGGGAGCCCGATGCGGGGCTCGATCCCAGGACCCTGGGATCATGACCTGAGCCGAAGGCAGACGCTTAATGACTGAGCCACCCAGGCGCCCCTATTCATAGCCTTTTATCCACTGATTCTACTACTTAAGAATTTAGAGAGGAAAGGAGAACTACAAAGAAATGTAGGAACATTTGCCACCCATGAAAATTGAAAAACTGTAAACAATGTAGATCTCATTCAAAAAGTAACAGCATTATGGCACAGCACTGAATAATATACAATGCAGTCATGGAAAAGTGTAATGAAAAGCAACATTTACTACTATGTAAAGAAGTCTGTGATATGTTAAGTGAAAAAAGCTGATAAAAGACAGTAATCATGGGGCACCTGGGTGACTCAGTCGGTTAAACGGCCAACTCTTGATTTTGGCTCAGGCCACGATCTCAGGGTTGTGAGATCGAGCCCTGTGTGGGGCTTGTGCGCTCAGCGGGGAGTCTGCTTGAGATTCTCTCTCCCTCTCCCTCTGCCCCTCCCCTCACTCACACTCTCTCACGCTCTAAAATAAATAAATAAATAAATAAATCTTTCCTTTTTTAAAAGACAGTAATTGTGATGCTCTACTTATAAGAAAGAAAGGTTTATTTTTGTAAGTATGTGTGTGTGTGTGTGTTCACTGGAAGAGGAAAAAAATGTGTGCACGGAAATAAAGAGAAGCAGATGAAAAGAAAATTAAAACCCCCATAATCCCACCACCAACTCCTAGCCCTAGAAAACTTGGGTAGAATTATAGGTCATTTTTACATGCTTTTTATTAATTCATCTACATTTTGTTTTTTAATATAAGCATGTATTAACTCTCTAAAAATATCTTAAATGATTCTATAAATTACACCTCTCATCTTCTCTTGAAGAAAATGTCATAAAACACAGGAATCCGAAATGGCAAAATTCTTTCAACTTCATCAAACGAACACCCACCAACAAAGCCATGACTAAAATCATACACCTACTAAGATTTTCTGGGTCTGAGTCAGATCGCTTTGCACAGAAGGCCAAAGGTAAACTGAATCAATTCTGTCTTGAAAGACCAACTGCCAGAAAGCAGTTTCCTTAGGCACTTAACATGTTCTTCCTGACAACCCAACGTGACAGAGGTTAATCAATGTCTAGAACAAAATAGATTCATTAGCAAATTCATGAATGAGAAGATGTAATTCTGGCTTCAGTACACAGGCTTCCTATTTGGTAGCTTAACTCTCTAGACTTGCATTACCCATCACAGGGAAACCATGATTCAGAGTTCCCCGGAAGAGATGTCGTGGGCATGAAGTGAGAAGCACATCTGTGGAAACTCAAACAAATCAGCAAATCTGAATGCATGATTCACAATATACAATGAAACTAGCTTGTAGAATTAATACTTAGGAAGATAATGGTGATAAAAGGAGAATAAATCTAAACTCGGGGTTTCAGATTATGTTCCTTCAAAAGACTGATGTTCCAGATCTATGAACAGACAAAGAGCAAAAAAAAAAAGGGAGCTATTAGGTTCATAGGTGAAATTTTTTAATTTTATGTACTCCTCCCATAAATTATTCTTAAACCTTTGGTGCCTATCATTACTTGTCTTCTAGGAATGTTGGCAGATGAAAATAAATAAATAGATAATAAATATTAATGGGAAAACTCACATAGCTAATTTATGTTTCATTCAAAAGACTTATTCTTTGTTTTGCTTTTTTTTGTTTTCCTGAGTATGTGTGCCCCTGTCTAAACATACACTGCAAATGAGTAATTTACTTACTGTCAGCTGGAAAGGTGTTCTCGTTGTCATAATAGAAATAAATAGATCAGTGCAGTGGCAATGTTTAGGAGCCCAGCTCTGGGATGGAGAACCAGTTCCCCCTATTACTCTGGGCATATTCCCTACTCATAAGTCTCAGTTTCTCCCTCTGCAAAATGGAGATAAGTGTATCTATATCTCATAGAGGTGAGTATTAAATGAGATAATGTGGTGCTTAGATAGTAACTAGTGCATAGCAAGTACTCAATAAATGGCACCTATTGTCATCATCATCATTGTTATTGTTCCACATGATGTTCCCCAAAGATTACCTTGATGTAGCACTCTACCACCAAATAAATCTCAGAACCACTGATAGAATTCAACAGTCTGCTTACTAGTTTGACCAGCCTGCTTCTCAGATTCTTCTTTGATAACTGGGTCAGGTAAAGTGCCTATTTACGGCAATTTAAAAATTTTCTAGTTTTATTTATTTTTTTACATTTTTATATTTTTATTTTATTCATGAGCGACAGAGAGAGAGGCAGAGGCAGAGGAAGAAGCAGGGAGCCCGATACAGGACTTGATCCCAGGACGCTGGGATCATGATCTGAGCCTAAGGCAGATGCTTAACCGACTGAGCCACCCAGGTGCCCCCCAAATTTTCTAGTTTTAAAACAAGATTATAGTTCTACCTACTAAACTATAATATTTAACACACTAATTACTACTGTTCAATTTTTTAATAAATAAATATTCTTTGGGGACTATTACCAAAAGAAAGGATTATCTTAGGAAATTAAAGAAGATGAACTGAAATAAATTTTTGGATGGCAAAGTAAAGAAAAACCTACCATTTTCAATTTTGCTTTTTGGATGTGGTCCACTAAATGCTAAAAATTTTCCTGGAACAATCCAGTTGAAGTCACCATTTTCAACTCGCTGGTAGAATTTTGTGAGAAAAGAGAAGAAAAATATTTTATAATTCTTATACAGTTTAGGAAACCCTTACAAATAAAACTGCTTTTCACTCTGTTAGTACTATTGGATGTACATGAAGACAAAGTAATACAGCTTAAAATAAAAACATGCATCTGATTCTCAAAATGGTATTTCAATCCTCTTCAGAAAAAGCTTTACTATCTAGACTGTTTGAAAAGTTTAAAAAACTTTACTTAAAGTGGAGGTACTTTGTTTAAAATAATTTTGTCTCCTGGCTACCCTGCAATAAAATGAAATGAAAACAAACATTGCTTGTCCCCGCAATAAATAAAGGGAGACAAGATAAAAGGAAATATAAGCACTTTCCATGAACATGGTAAACATGTTTTAAAGAATGAAAAAAAATTATAAATATCAGGGTCATAATGAACACACTTCCATTTTTTTTTTTTTCTGTTTTTATAGGTTGCTATTGTTGTCAATGCTGATTTTTCAACTGGGAAATGGAACGAGGCAGGAGTGAAGAACAGAGGATCATCAAACTCCCGAGGTACACCACAAATGAGTCAGCCAAGGTGTCTGGCAGGGGTTGCAAACCTAAACAGCTACAAAGGCCAGGTGAGAGACATAAATAATGGCAGATGGCTCCTCAGCTCTGGCTAAAGAGTCACCCTGCAGGAAAGGCTAACTGAATGTGGCTGACCTGCTGAATGGGTTTTTATGTGAATCTCTCTATAGTTGATGTTGACTATTTTAAGTTTTTAAATAAAATGAAACCAAATAAAACACGTCTTTGGGCCGACTTTGATCACCAGTTGTCAACCTCTGGTCTACACTCTCTCTCTAAAGGATCCTCAGAAAAGGCTTGAAGACCAGGGAAGGGGCCCAGCATCCTCCCACTGCTCCATTATCTCCTCCATTTCCTTCCCTTCCTGATGTGCCTCTAAACCCCTGGAACACTGGGGCAGGGCTGAAGGTACCCCCAAGATTTGCAGGGAATTGGGACACATCTGTGCATGCATCATAAAATATATATGTATCACTTCTTCACATAAGCGTTCTTTAGCCCACCCAAAACCCTCACCCCCACCCCACCACCAGGTCAGCTTCTAGTCTCCATCTCCACCCTCCGGGCTCTCTAGCACTGCACAGATACCTCCACAGGCTGGGAAGGAAAGCAGTTCTCTTTACTGGGCCAAGAATATCCATTAAAAAAGCTTTCTTCTCCACCCCCACATGGCACATACGGTAGGAATGTGTATCAAATACAGTCTGCATTCTACTGTAAGAGCTTTTAGGTATTTGTTCGATTAATTGGAGTAACACCATCAAGGAAATTGGAGCCTCTACTTGAATTAGTTATACTACTATTATCATTTCCAATTTTCATTAAAATCAAAACTTAACTGTACAATTTCTAAGTTTAAAATGACATGGTTCCTTCCAGTTATAAAAAGTTATAAATGAAACTTTACGTGACACCTTATAAATGTCTGAATTGCATTAATCTAACTATAATAAATAGAATATCCCCATAATACCAGAAATAAAATCTTAGAGCTACTGAGTGTTATGATTACATATGCCAAATTGTATCTCAGGCGTAACTATCTATTCATAACGATTTGAATAAAGAATCTAATATATAACTCTTTATGATAATTAAACTTTTTCTTGTTTAAATAAAGCAGTTTCTAATGGTCCAATATCCCTCATAAGTAATTAATAAGCTTAAAACATTACTTAGAAATTCCAAAATAAAGGTATGCTCTAATCATCATGCTCTAATCATCAAAAGGCCAAAGGCAATTCTTTATGAACAGTAAAAGAAAATAGGTTTCTATGTTCACTATTTCTGTATCCTTGACCACTAAGTAAGCCTAGATAAATATATTGTGCTATGTCTATTTATTTGGGTTATAGACATTTAGTTAAACAGTAACCTTTTATAAACAATCATATGGAGAAAGACAGTGGACTTACTAAGATACATTCACTCACAAAACCAAAAGAATATGTTTGCAAATCTGCCTACCCAAAAAGATAAACATTAGATAATATTGGACTACATTCAGTAGCCTGGATAAGGTTGATGGAGTAAACAATGAGATTTGGGTCTTAGATTCAAATCTGAAAAAAAAATTAATAAGAAAGTTACAGCTTTCAACTAACTAATATAAGCTTACTTCAGTAAGCTTCCCAAATTAATATTTGTGCCTTCTTTCAGTGAATTATACAAATATCAATATTTATCAATAATAAAATATTTAAGATGACACAGATTGGTTTTCTAATTAAATACACACACTTCAAAGAAATCTAGATCAGACAGGAACTGAAGGTACTTTCTAACCCTACCATATTTTACAAACATCTCAGCAAGGAGGAGGCAAGAGGATGGTTTTACCTCTTACATTCCAAAGCCTACTGCCTACCAAGTACTATGTAGGAAAACTGCACCTGTTCTTCACTATAAGGAAATAAAATAAAAATAAAAATTTGAATTCCTGAAACTGATATACTTAAGTGTTAATACTCACTTTACTATAGGATTCTTCAGTCTACAAAAGATTCAGTCTACAACCAGATTTCTTTGAAATAGGTAATTCTGTTGATGCATTTAAATATAATTTGGGGGGGAAAAGAAATCAAGGTTGCTTACAAAGTAAATAACAGTATTAAAACTGAAAAAAATTAAAAAGTAAACATAATTTGACTTGAAAACATATATTTTTACAACTTCTAAGAAATACTTCTATGCCGCTAAGGCATGCCTCTGTTGCAATGGTCAGAAATATATTTTTCAGTCCCAGTACTGAAAATCGTTTGGCCTTTTACCATTGTAATAAACAGACAGTAAAATAGGAAAGAGAGGCCTTGAGGTCAACAATTACAGGATTGATTCCCTGACTCCGTCACATGCAACTCACTTCATGCTACAGCAGCCCTATGAGGTGGGTGTTAGCCCCATCTTGTACCCATTGCTACAGACCAAAAGTTTGTGTCCCCTGCAAATTCATATGTCAAAACCTAATCCCCAGTATGATGATATTTGGAGGTAGGGACTTTGGGAGGCAGTTAAGTCATAAGGATGGAGCCCTCATGAATGGGATAAGCGTCCTTATAAAAGAGAGCCCAGAGAGTGCGCTTGCCCTTCTACCATGCGAAGACACAGGGAGAATATGGCCACAGAAGAAGGCCACCAGACACCGCATCTGCTGGTGCCTTGACCTTGGATTTCCCAGCCTCCAGAACTGTGAGAAATAATTGTTTGTTGTTTAAGCCACCCAAGGCATGGTATTTTTGTTACAGAAGCCCAGATTAAGACACCAATTAAAAAAAAAAAGTTGCATTACACTTTGAAAAGAGCTATAATAGAAGTATTTAAGAGGTTTAACGATGGCACAAGGCTATTTGAAAAATCAAAAAGACAGAACTACTGTCTTTTTGTTTCCTTTTATTCATTAAAAAGTACCTTCCTTATGTTTCCCTAACTTCTAAAACAATAAAATACTGTTGATGGTGTAGTTGTATTACATAAATGCAAATATGCTGCAGTAATAGGCACTTTACGTTCTTAAAGCAAAGTAAATATTTGAGTTATTTGGTTTAAATTAAAATGCCATGCCATCTGGCTTTAGATAATTAAACTCTAGATTATTAATTTAGATTTGCTTCTGAGAGAGACAGTGTGGTGGAGGGAAAGAGGAGGGCCCCATGTGGATGACTGTTCCACCTCTGCTCACTCCAGCTGGGTTAGGGAGACCCGGCTGGTAGAACCCTTAGGGGACTGCTCCAGCCGCTCAGACCAGATGCAGCCGCAGGCAGCAGGAACCCAGGGCACGTATGCAGGTGCTGTTGCTCAAGACATGGCAATTTGAGGTCACAAGCACATATACGATTGTTGAAACTTGGAAGCAGGTGCCCTCACTCGCAGAGAGTGTGTTCAGCCACAAACCCAGAGCCCTAGAGAAGGGCAGCATTTCAGGTGGGCAAAGGAAGAGAAAGTGCTTGCAAAGGAGACTGAGAAAGGTGGCCAGAGATGCAAGGAAGAGAAAAGCAAGAGATGGAACCTTAGAAGTTAGGGAACTAAAGGGAGTGTCCAGAATTAGAGAGTGGCCACAGAACAAATCAAGTAGGAAGGAGACCGACACAACCATCTGGTTTGCCAACTCTTCGATGAGCAAGGACAGTTTCATGAGACTCACAAAGGTAAAGGCCAAACCATAACCAAATGACTAACTGACTAATAACAGAGTCAAGACTGCTCTGTTAAGAAGCTTGGAAGTAAAAGAAGGGACAGAAACCAAACAGCAATTAAAGAGGAAGAAAAAACCATGGGAAATTCTTAGACAAGGTAGACCTCAAAACATTTTGTAGTGTTAACCAACATGATCTTTGAACCAGCAATGGGTACAGTGGATTAACAGATGTGGCAACACTGGGTCCCTCCGCATTAGCAGCTGCAGTGTCCAGGAAGGAGTTCTGCTTCCTTGAACTTGTAGCCTTTGGAGTGGTATAATCAGTCTTACAGGATAGCTCCAGGGAAATGCTTCTAACAGTTCTTTGAGTAGTCACATCCCTGTGGGAGGCATACCTCCACAGTTCCTCCAGGTGGTGAGGATGTGCTCACCTACCTGTCTTCTGGAGCTCGCTTAACTCCAGTCCGATGGCAGGAATTTACAATAACAAGGGCGGAAATCCCCAGGTTTCCAGTTCTGTAATCCATGAACAAGAGGGCAGACCAAGCAAGCAACACCCAGATTACATTCTGGTTTGGTAGACAAACTCTAATCCCAAGCAAAGCCTTGAAACATCACACCTCGGGTGTTCAACAGCCGTAACTCCTGCTGTTGACCTGAGATGGCAGATTGAGCAATGGGAGACCTAACCTTCGTGCTCAAGGTACGTACAGAAGGCCATCCTCGGGAGTCTATACCACCCAGTCAGTTTGACAATTTACTTACTAACTGCAATGAAGGATAACATAATCAACCTGG